TATAGTGGAAACATTTACTGGATACGGGACAAGCTGGGATCTTGCACACCCCTTCCCCTTTGATCAGTGAACCCCTTTATAGGTTAAAAAAGGCAGGGGGGGGGACGGGCCCTTTTTGGAAACTGGGGGCCTCCCCGAGGGCCCAGGGGTCAGTAGGGGGCCCCTTTGGATGCCCCTTGGTCCCTTTTTATAGGCTTTTTATTTTGGGCAAGGGGGACACAGGGGCCCCATGTTTTCCCCTTTGCCCGGGGCCCCTTGAGCTGTCAGTCCCCCCCCGGTTGAAAGAAATAAACCCCGCAAGAGGGAAAGGATCTGGGGAAATTGTGGAGCATAAGGGAAATGGGGTTTCCCCGATCCTTTTTGCTAAATTCCGCAGACCCGACCCCATCTTGGGGGGAAATTGTCGGTTTTGGTTTTAAAACTTTCCTTTTCGTGGAGCTCGGGGAAAGAGGGCCCGGTTTGTCACCCATACGATAGGGGTTTCCCCCCGGCTGCGGTGTGCACCCCACCCTGCATAGGGACGCCACTGCTTCTAATGCTGGGCATAAAATGCCCCCACCCCCAAAATGACCCCTTTTTGGAAAATAGACCACCCCAAACTATATGCTGAGAGGCATGTTGAGTCAATTAAAGAATTTTTTTTTAACACAAAATTGTCACTTAAATGATATATTGCTCACACATGCCATGGGTATATGGGGAATTACTCCCAAAAAATACATTTCTGCTACTTCTAGCGAGTATAGGGTTACCACATGTGAGAGACGTTTTGGCACCTTCAGCCTTTTCATTTCCTCTTTACACTTCTTGACTACCTATCACAGTTTTGGAGGGCCCTGAAATGCCAGGATAGCACCAACACCCCCTCCAATGACCCCTTTTTGGAAAGTAGACAACCAAGCAATTTGATAAGAAACATGTTGAGTATTTTGCAGATTCTCATTTGTTGCCATGAGTTTTGGAAAATGAAGATAGAAAACATATTTTTTCTTTTCTTTTTTTATATTTCAAAAACGTTGTGGGAAAAAAATGAGATCTGCAAAATACTCATCATGCCTCTTTTAAATTCTTTTGGGTGTCTACTTTCCAAAAAGGGGTAATTTGGGGGGTTTTGGTGCTATCCTGGTATTTCAGGGCCGCCGAAACTATGTTAGGTAGTGAGGAAGTGTAATGAGGAAGTTACGCACCTTCAGGCTTTCAAAGTGGTCATTGGATTTCAGGCTCCTGTATGTGGCTAGGCTCTCACAAAGTCTCACACATGTGGTATCCCCATACTCGGAAGAAGTAGCAGAATGTATTTTGGGGTGTAATTCCACATATACCCATGGCTTGTGTGAGCAATATATCATTTAAATGACGACTTTGTGTAAAAAAAATATTTTTGTCATCTTCCAAAAACTTGTGGAAAAAAATAAATCTTCCATGGACTCAATATGCTTCTCAGCAGATAGCTTAACACTTGAGGGTCTTTGTACTGTCCTGACATTTGGGGGTGTTTGTACTATCCTGGTTTTTTAGCACCTCAAGAAATGTGATGGGCAATCAGAAAGTAAATGCTGTGTAAATTCCATTATCTATACCATAGTTTGTAGACGCTATAACTTTCACACAAAGCAATCAATATACACTTACCAAAAACATATAGCAGAATACATTTTGACCTAAATTTATGATGAAATTTGAGTTTTTTGGATATTTTTTTTATGACAGAAATGAGAAAATATCATTTTTTCTAAATTTTCCATCTTTTTATGTTTATAGCGCAAAAAATAAAAAGCGCACAGGTGATCAAATACCACCAAAAGAAAGCTCTATTATTTATTTATGTACCGTATTGCATGACTGCGCAGTTGACAGTTAAACTAGCGCAGCGCTGTATAGCAAAAAATGGCATAAATTCCATTATCTATACCAGGGGTGGGCAAATTTTTTGACTTGAGGGCTGCAATGGGTTCATATATTGGACCCGGGGGCCAGACCAAGAGTAGATGAATGATGTGTATGTGTCATCCATAGTAAGTATAGTAATATTCCCCCATAGTAAGCATAGTAATTAATCCCCCATATAGTAATTCATCCCCCATAGTAATTCATCCCCCATATAGTAATTCATCCCCCATAGTAATTCATCCCCCATATAGTAATTCATCCCCCATAGTAATTCATCCCCCATATAGTAATTCATCCCCCATAGTAATTCATCCCCCATAGTAATTCATCCCCCATATAGTAATTCATCCCCCATAGTAATTCATCCCCCATAGTAATTCATCCCCCATATAGTAATTCATCCCCCATATAGTAATTCATCCCCCATAGTAATTCATCCCCCATATAGTAATTAATCCCCCATATAGTAATTCATCCCCCATATAGTAATTCATCCCCCAGTAATTCATAATAGTAATTCATCCCCCATATAGTAATTCATCCCCCATATAGTAATTCATCCCCCATAGTAATTCATCCCCCATATAGTAATTCATCCCCCATATAGTAATTCATCCCCCTGTGTCAATTTACTTACCTTTGCTCCGCGCGTTCCTCTCGCCGTGTTCCCGCGCCGTTCCGGTCTTCAGGGCGGACTGTGAGAGGAGCCTAGTTCCCCTCACGTTCGTCACGCTGCCCCGCCTACACAGATCCTGACAGCCAATGTATCACGCTCCGCGGGCCGGATTAAAAGGTCCGCCGGGGCGTAGTTTGCCCATTGCTGATCTATACCATAGTTTGTAGATGCTATAACTTTCACACAAAGCAATCAATATACACTTATTGGGATTTTTTTTTTACCAAAAACATGGAGCAGAATACATTTTGGCCTAAATTTATAACGACCTTTGAGTTTACTATACATTTTTTATAACCAAAAGTAAAAAATATTGTTTTTATTTTCCTTGAGGTGATTGTAGCCGTATTAGTGCATTTGTGACAGAAACAATTGAGTACAGTCGGTCATACTTTTTTATTTGCACTAACATACAATTTTGAGGACAAGCTTTCAGGGAATGTCCCCTTCTTCAAGGTCCAAGCAGTACTACTGCTTGGACCTTGAAGAAGGGGACATTCCCCGAAAGCTTGTCCTCAAAATTTTATGTTAGTGCAAATAAAAAAAGTATCACCGACTGTACTCAATTGTTTCTGTTTTTATTTTCTAAATTTTCAGTCTCTTTTTGTTTATAGTGCAAACAATAAAAAGGTTCACAGGTGATCAAATACCACCAAAAGAAAGCTCTATTTGTGTGAAAGAAGGACATAAATTTCATTTTGGTACAGCATTGCATGTGACCGCGCGCAATTACCAGATGAAAAAGTGCAGCGCCGAATAGCAAAAAAAGGCGTGGTCACGAAGGGAGGTATATCCTCAGGAGGGCAAGTGGTTAACTGATGACTTCTAGTGAATTGCTGTGTACTTACCGATAACTTATATAACACCGAAGACGTTCCCTACTTATCTTTCTGATGAAGTGAATGATAAATGCATTGAAGAATAGAAAGCCACCTTTACATCACCCATCTGAAGGGATTGCATTCCTGTGGAAAAAGTGTTTCGGCTGATCTATTAGAACTGATCTGTGTAATGATGTAAAGGAATTTAAAGTGGCAGTCAGAGTAAATTAAATAATTATTAAATTCTGTAATGTTCAACCATATATATTCCAGTTTATAGGGTCTATTGCTGCTGGCTGCTGGGGTATCTATTGTTGCTGTGGGGGTCAATTGTGGGAGAAGTCTTCTGTTGAGGAAAGGGTCTATTGTTGCTGGGTGCTGGAGAATCTATTAATGAACCCCCCCCAAATTCATGAAAACACCAAAATATTATCCCCGAATGGATCTCAGACCTGCAGATTTGATCTTGAACCCATGGCTGAGGCAAAACTGAACATCTGTACTATTTGTAACACTTGTATATCCTCATGCGATATGATGGAATGTCACAAAATAATCATCATCATCATATTAATAATAATATCTGATTTCAGATTCCGGTATCTCGATGCTCAGATCCATGTTTACCCGGCAGCAGAAAAAAGTTTGGATCTTCAATTCATATATGCTGCTATGAGTGCGTCCCGTGTCCGGAAGGAGAGATATCCAACATTTTCTGGTAGAGTTTGTACTTGTTACTAAGTTATATTTGGCCTGGTCAGAAGTAACCTCACTACTTAAAGTGTTAATCAGGGAAAAACATATGAAGTATGTACCTGCAAAATGTGCACATTTATTACTACTATTATTATTATTATACAGGATTTATGGCGCCAACAGTTTGCTGAGCACTTTATAATATAAAGGGAGACAATACAGCAACAATACAGTTCAATACAAGAGGGTTAGGAGGGCCCTGATCCTGGGAGCTTACAATCTAGGAGGGAGGGGCTAGTGGTACAAAAGGTAATAACTGTGGGGGATGGACTGGTAGAAAGAATAGAAGATTCCATTATTACCTGAGGGCAGGAGAGGCTTCCCTGAAGAGATAGGTTTTCAGTGATCGCCTAAAAGTGAGCAGAGCAGGCAATAGCATGATAAATTGGGGAAGAGAATTCCAGAGGATGGGGGAAGCTCTGGAGAAGTCCTGGAGATGAGAATGGGAGAAGGAGACAAGGGAGCTAGAGAGCAGGAGTTAATTCAAGGAGCGGAGATTACGGTTTGGGTGATATTTGGAGAAAAGATTGGTGATGTAATTTGGGGCAGAGTTACAAATGGCTTTATATGTTATTGTTAATGTTTTGAATTTTATCCGTTGGGCAATGAGAAGCCAGTGGAGGGATTGGCAAAGAGGGATGGAGGACAGTGAGTGGAGGCCAGTGGAGGGATTGGCAGAGAGGGGTGGAGGACACTGAGTGGAGGCCAGTGGAGGGATTGGCAGAGAGGGATGGAGGACACTGAGTGGAGGCCAGTGGAGGGATTGGCAGAGAGGGGTGGAGGACACTGAATGAAGGCCAGTGGAGGGATTGGCAGAGAGGGCTGGAGGACACTGAGTGGAGGCCAGTGGAGGGATTGGCAGAGAGGGATGGAGGACACTGAGTGGAGGCCAGTGGAGGGATTGGCAGAGAGGGGCAGAGGACACTAAGTAGAGGACAGTGGAGGGATTGGCAGAGAGGGGTGGCAGATACAGAACGGTTAGTAAGGTGGATGAGTCTGGCAGCAGCATTCATGATAGACTGAAGAGGGGATAGCCTGCGATGAGGTCGGCCAATGAGGAGGGAGTTACAATAGTCAAGGCGAGAGATAACCAGGGAGGGAATAAGTTGCTTAGTAGTTTCCGTGGTTAGGAACTGCCGTATCTTGGAGATGTTGCGGAGGTGAAGTCTACAAGATTTGGACAGTGAATGGATTTGGGACTGAAAGGACAGATGGGAGTCTAGGATTACACCTAGTACCCTGGCATGAGGGGAGGGACTGATGGTTGTATTATTGATCTTGATAGAGAAGTCAGGGGAGGGGGCACGGGCTGGGGGGAATACTAAGAGTTCAGTTTTGGAAAGATTGAGTTTTGAGGAAGTGGAGTGACCTCCATGCCGATATGTCACTTAGTAGGTTAGTAATGCGAGAGGAGACTGAAGGGGTGAGGTGAGGAGGAGACTGAAGGGGTGAGGTGAGGGGTAGAAAGATAGATTTGTGTGTCATCAGCATAGAGATGGTACTTAAACCCATGGAATTTTATCAAGTGACCAAGGGAGGAGGTGTAGATGGAGAATAGAAGGGGGACAGAACCTTGAGGGACCCCTACAGAAAGAGAGAGAGGAGAAGAGGAGGCAGAGTTATGGGTTACACCAAAGGAGCTGCGATATGTAGGAGGAGAACCAGGAGAGAGCAGAGTCTCTGAGGCCAAGAGAGTGCAGTTTTTTGAAGAGGAGGAGGGGATGGTCAACAGTATCCAAAGCCGCAGAGAGGTCAAGTAGTGAGAGTACGGAGTAGTGGCCATTGGTTTTAGCAGTTAGTAGATCATAGTGAGTTTTAGTAGGGCAGTTTCAGTGGAGTGTATTGTGAGCGAGAGCAGGGAGATGGGTCTTAAGTTGTTCAGGTTGGTGGGGTCCAGGGAGGGCTTTTTAAGTATGGGAGTGATGTGCGCATGCTTTAGAGGGGAGGGGAAGGTGCCAGTAGAGAGCGAGAGATTGACGATTTGAGTGTGAGCATAGACTGGAAGAAGAGGGTGACTGTAGTAGTTGTGAGGGGACAGGATCCAGGGGGCAGGTAGTGAGACGGGCTTTGGAGAAAACCTTAGTGACCTGTTTGGCAGTAGCAAGTTCAAAAGAGGAAAGTGTTGGGGAGGTTTAGTATAAGGTATGCTAAGTGGGATGGATGTCTGTGCAGTGGCGATGCCCGTAAGAATTGCGTCAATTTTGTTTTGAAATGATTTGCAATCTCGTGAGCAGTGAGTGAGGTACTGGGTGGAGGTAGAGGTGGAGAAAGTAGAGAGTTAAAAGTAGAGAAGAGAGGATGAGGACTGGATGACAAGCTATTGATGAGAGTGACAAAGTAGGCTTGTTTGGCAGCATGGAGGGAGGAATTGTATGTTAAGAAAGCAGATTTATAACGGGTGAAAGCTTGCTGAGATTTGGTTTTACGCCATAATTGCTCCTGTTTTATATCGTTAAAGCCACTGCAAGTACAGAAAGATACTTGTTGATCCTGCTAGAAATGTAGTTAGCTCCTCATACTGGTATAGGCTGACAACACACAGGAGTTTGGGAATTGAAATGGTGTCAGCCCTGCCTGGTTGTATTTTGCTGTTGTTACTACTACTGCTAATACTACTATCACCACTAACACTACTACATATAAGAAAAAATTACCCCCTTGGGACTTAAATGCAGCTAATAAAACATCACCACATATATTTTGATTCAAAATTAGATATACTTTATTATACAAAAAAAGATTTATTACATCCTAAAATCACATTAATATAAATTAATAGGCATCCGCTGTAGTGAAGGAGTGTGTAGCCTCTGGGTGGATAATGGTCACCGGCATCTGGCTATGGTGCTGGTGGGTTCCAGCACGTTCTCCTGGTTCTGGGATTCCCTCAGCTGAGACATCACTTCCGGTCACGTGATGTCAGGGGTTGGCGCGTGTTTGCAGCATGCATGCTCCCTCCACATGGCCCGAAACTAGGAGGACATGCTGGAAGCCACCAGCACCATTGCCAGATGCTGGAGACCACCATCCATCCAGAGGCTTCACGCGCCTTTACTACAGCGGATACCAATTACTTTACAAGCGCAAATCTACTTACGCTTTGTGTGTGGCCTGTATTACTACACTTTGTATCCATTAACAACCTTTCATACTGCACTTAAAGGGTGCCGCCTTTTTCTTCCTGATCTTCCACAGGCCCTCTCTACCTCGTTATTGGCCAGCTGCCTCCACTCCATGGTGCATCAGAGTTACCAATAGGACTCTTTCTAAGGCAATTTTATTTGTATATTTATTACAGTATATTGTTCATGATTTATTTCCCCTAATTCCATCACCATTGATTATATGCTTATACATATTATTGTATGCCGCATCTACCTCCTTACTCCATCTCGAAGTGCGCCAAATATCCTACTTGCCTTTTGGTGTTAGTCAAATTAACAACAGGTGCACTAGATCGGCAACAATGAGACAACTCCCAAAACAGGAATGGTTTTACAGGTGGAGGCCACTGACATGTTTTTCCCTACTCATCTTTTATGACAGTTTTCCCTAGTTATGCATTTGGCTAGGGTCAGTGTCACTACTGGTAGCATGATGTGATGCCTGGACCCTACAGAGGTTGCATAGCAGTCCAACTCTTCCAGGATGGCACATCAATAAGTGACATTGCCAGAAGGTTTCCTGTGTTTCCCAGCACAGTCTGAAGAGCATGGCAGAGATTCCAGGAGACAGGCAGTTCCTCTAGGAGAGCTGGACAGGGCCATAGAAAGGTCCTTAACCCAGCAGCAGAACCAGTATCTGCTCCTTTGTACAAGGAGAAACAGGATGAGCCCTGCCAGAGCCCTACAAAATGACTTACAGCAGGTCACTGGTGTGAATGTCTCTGACCAAACAATCAGAAACAGACTTCATGAGGGTGGCCTGAAGGCCTGACATCCTGTAGTGGGCCCTGTGCTCACTGCCCGGCACCATAGAGCTCGATAGGCATTTTCCATTGAACACCAGAATTGGCAGGTCCGCCATTGGCACCCTGTGCTTTTCACAGATGAGAGCAGGTTCACCCTGAGCACATGTGACAGACGTGAAAGGGTCTGGAGAAGCCATGGAGAACATTATGCTGCCTGTAACATTGTTCAGCATGACCATTTTGGTGGTGGGTCAGTGGGTCCTGGGGAGGCATATCCATGGAGGGACGCAAAAACCTCTACTACACCCTGACTACCATTAAGTATCCTTGGACCCATTGTCAGACTTTACACTGGTGCAATGTGTTCTGGGTTCCTCCTGGTGCACGACAATGCCCAGCTTCATGTGTCAAGAGTATGCAGGCAGTTCCTGGAGGATTATTATTATTATACAGTATTTATAAAGCGCCAATAGTTCGCTCAGCGCTGTACATTACAAAGGGGGACAGAACATGTGACAGAACAATGCAAAACATGAGGGGATCGAGGGCCCTGCTCTTTCGAGCTTACAATCTAGGAGGGACGGGGTGGTGGCACAGGAGGAGATAGCTGTGGGGGATGGAGTGGTAGGAAGAGTGGAGGAGGTCGGCAAGTTAGCAGGGGGTGGGGTAGGCTTCCCTGAAGAGATGGGTTTTCAGGGTGCGCCTAAAGGAGAGGAGAGTAGGTGATAATCTGATGGGTTGGGGCAGGGAGTTCCAGAGGATGGGTGACACCCTGGAGAAGTCCTGGAGGCGGGCATGGGAGGAGGAGACTAGGGAACTAGAGAGAAGGAAGGAGGTCTTGTGAGGAGCGGAGTGTGCGTGCTGGGCGGTACTTGGATATTATGAAGGATGAAGGAATTGAATGGCCCCCACACTTGCCTTACCTAAATCCAATAGAAGACCTCTGGGATATCATGTTTCGGTCCATCCGACACTGCCAGGTTATGTCTCAGAATGTCCAGGAGCTTAGTGATGCCCAGGTCCAGATCTGGGACGAAATACCCCAGGACACCATCCGTTGTCTCATTAGGAGCCTCCCCCGACGTCAGGCATGCATACAAGCACATGGGGGCCATACAAACTACTGAGGACCATTTTGAATTGCTGACACAAAGTCCATCCAATTCAACCAACAGAAAATAAATAAAAAAATAAAAATGCTCAACAGGTATTTTTATTTGCACTTTTACAGATATAACAAATGTTTCCAGTTGTGTATTTAACAAACCAACAAGGGTAGAAAATATGTTCATTATCAGGGTTTTCTGACAATTTAAACTGAAACTCCCAATTATCACATTTCTGCCTATAACACAATTCTTGTGCATTCTATTTTTCGTCTTTTCACTCTTTATTGTGTCCTTATGGAACCAACATTTTTTTTAGCACTTCCCATTAGGCACATTCAACTGTGTGATAGATAATAACTATCTATCTATCTATCTATCTATCTATCTTAAATTAATTCATATTTTTAATTTGTTTTCTAAGCTCTGACCCCGATGCTCATTGTGTTTGTATTGTTCTTCCTGCAGACAGTGAAGATTGCATAAAATGCCCTGATGATGAATGGCCAAATGAGAAGAAGGATCGGTGTGTTCCAAGAGTGGTGGAATTTCTCTCCTACACTGATGACACCATTGTTGCAGTATTTTCAGCTGTCTCCATCATCCTCTGTTGTCTTCTGACTGGTTTAATATTGAGGATATTTATACATTACCAGGACACCCCCATTGTTAAAGCCAATAACCGGAACCTGAGCTATCTTCTCCTGGTCTCCATCATGCTGAGCTTCCTCTGTGTCTTCTTGTTCCTTGGCCATCCAGTAGATGTAACCTGCAGACTGCGTGTCACCTCTTTTGGTGTCATCTTCTCAGTTGCCGTCTCTTCTCTACTTGCCAAAAGTATCATGGTGTGTATTGCTTTTAAAGCCACCAAACCTGGGAGTCCCTGGAGGAAATGGATGGGAGCCAAACTGTCCAATTTTATCATTTGTGTCTTCTCACTGGTCCAAGTCATAATCTGTGTCACTTGGTTGTCTATTTCTCCCCCCTTCCAGGATCAGGACACTCACTCTTATCAGGGGAAGATCATCATTCAGTGTAATGAGGGTTCAGTTATCGGCTTCTACTCTGTCCTGGGATATATGGGGCTTCTGGCAGCTGTGAGCTTCATTATAGCTTTTATAGCCAGGACATTACCGGACAGTTTTAATGAGGCCAAGTACATCACCTTCAGCATGCTGGTGTTCTGCAGTGT